GATAAAGGAACTGAAACTGTGGAGAGGGGGGAGATGGGCTGGGCATATCCTGGAGGAGGAGCCTGGTCGTCACACAGGGGGTTTTATCCAGCAAGGGCAGCACCCAAATACCATGTTCCCACACTACAATGAAAAACAACACCCCAGTGAGCCACAGAACTCAGAATTTAGAGTATTTCCCCTTAGAGTATTGGCAGCTAAAAATCATTCCAGCCCCTGGAGAGGCCAAGGGATGTGGGATCTTGCAAATGGCCTTGGTCACCTTGTGATGGCAGAGCCCTTCTGTGAGCTCCCACCTGTGGGGCTGGGAACGGAGCTTGGAGCACCAATCCCTGCCCTTCCACCACCCTTTCTCTCTACATTTACAAACAAAACTCAACCAAAGACACTGCTATTGGAAAACCAGAGAGCCATGATGGTGTCTCAAGCTGGACTCCAAAACCAATTTCACCCTTCAAAGAACCAGACCCAAACCAGACTTCTCTCCCCTGAACAGCACACGGGGAACCAGCACCGAAATCTGGCACACTTGGCTGTACAAAACACTCTGGAGTTGGGAATCAGCCTCTGCTCAGAAGATTATCACCACAACACACAGCACAGCCACCCACCCCACCTCAGCCTGCTTTTGGGATCAGAAAGGCAAGTTCCCTTCATCCAAGCCAACACCAAATCCCAACAAACACTCATTAAAAAAACCATTCCACTAAACGCAATCACGGCAAAGCCACGACCCCCATCCTGCTTTGATTGATTCCAGTACACTGACCACAACATTGGTTATTTGCTGGTTTGGTTTTTACCTTTCCATCAGTATTTCTGTTCCTTTGGACATAGTTCAAGATGAGCTCCTGGGCGCTGAGGGATCACAGGCTCTCCTGGGAGGTGCCTTTTTATACTCGAGCTGGTGGCTGAGTTAAGTCCTATTTTTAGCAGCCATTCAGGTAGGAGAGCAGCCAAGGTTTCCGCCTGGGATCCCCGCTATCACCGCCCTCGTGGTGGAGATGAATGGGCGTGAGTTTCACTGGAGGAGAAAACAATTTCCTTATGACAAGTAGCAGCAAAACAACATAAAATCACCTGTCACCTGGTATAAGCACTGCCCTTTGAGACCAGCTATCTCAGGCAGCTGTCTGTCCTTGGGTTTGGTTTGGTTTGTTGTTTTGTACTGGGTGTGATTCCTGAAATGGGCTCTTCTGGGTTGTTTCTGTGAGGGGAAGTCACAGTTTTCTCGGATGAGCGGGGTTTCGGTGCAGGAAGGAGAGTGCCCTGTTCCCATCCCTGGAGCTCCCAGGCAGCTCCTGTGGGAGTGCAGACACTGCTGGACACGGCACTGTCAGGTTCTTTCACAACATTGGGCACAGCACCTGGAACCCACCCTGGGCTCCTTCAGACAGCCTGTGCTTCCACCCTAAAACATCAACCAGCTCCTGCTCCAAATCCTTCCCACTCCCGTAGCTCACGCTCAGCCTCACCCAGCGAGGGGAAATCTCCCACCAGCGATATCTACCCAACCCAACACCCACAAACTGCACCCAGGCCAAGCAAATCTGACACCAAAGCTCCGTTTGGCCCCAGTGCCCCCTCCTATGGCTGTGGCATCCCCCGGCAGGTGCTTCCCACTGTTCCCCATCGCTGCTTTGCCATCTGATGGCAAAATCCCGCACTGCAGCTCGCAGGGACGGGGCTGGACCGGGCGGCAGCTGCAGACACACAGGCTTTGGGAAACCCCCTTTGGAAAACCCTCTTTGGAAAACCCTCTTTGGAAAACCCCTCGGGAAGATTTCCGGAGCAGCAGCTCTGTTTTCAGCTGGAATGATGTTCAGCCAAGCTGTCTCCTGGTTAAAAATTTTCCTGTTATGGAGCTCAGTTTGCAAGCAGAACACTTCAGGGCTGTTTTAATTCTCTTTCTTTAAACTCTCCATGCTGTAATTTCCTGTGACTGGGAGAGAACCAGACCACGTCCCTGCATTTCTCCTGAGCCCACATGCCTGAATCAGTCTGGTATTGATCAGGAATTACCTGGCTCCGATTTTCAGCACCCCATCTACTGATAAATGGATGAGGAGCTTGCAGGCTGCTTCCCAGCTCTTGTCCACGTCTTTCCACAAGCAAGTCAATTCCAGAGAGTGAGGAGTTTCACAATCTATTTTATTCCATAAAACAAAAAGCCACATCCATGGGGGTCAGTTTGGCCAGCTCCAGCTTGGAGATCTTTCTAATGGAGATTGCCCAAGGCTGAGTCCAAGCACCATTCCTGCTCATGATTCAGCTGGAATCAGCATTGATGTACAACCTCTTTCAGACACAGCCAGAAGATGGGAAAGCCAAACTCCAGGAAAAATCTTCACATGAAATGTGATTCAGGACTGAGACTTTTATCCAAGTTCAGATCCCTTCTGGGATGTGGGATATGTTCAAACCTAATAGGAAAGAGGCACAAGAAAAATATGCAGGAAACAGATAAACCAAAATCCCATTACCAGAGTGGGGGCAAGAGATCTGGAACCAAATTTTTCATCCACTTTTCTTATCAGTGCTGGGAGAGAAGGAGGAAGCTGGCAGGAAATGCAGTCTTGGGGCGGAGCACCCAGTGCTGGGGTTGTCATCTTCAGGCCAGCAATGCTGGGGGGAAAAGCAGAACTAAACCCATGGGAACACAGCAGGGGATAAGCAGCTTCTGTGCCAGAAATTGCTTCAGACGGAAAAAACCCCAGAGAGAGGCATTCCCCACGTGGAGCCGCAAGGTGCAGAGGGCAACAACAGGTTCAGAAGGTGGGGGCCAAAGCACCCGAATTCCTTGGGAAGACACAGGCTGAGACTGGACATTGGGAAAACTCTCCTCTGCAAGAGGCTGGGACAATCTCAAACACGTGTCCAGGGGGGTTGGGAATCACACCCCTTGGAGGTCTTCTAGGCTTGGCCAGCCAAAGCCACAGCCAACCTGCCCTGGTGTAGGAGGCCACAAAGGTCCCTTGGAGCCAACAACCATCCACGAGCCATCAACCAGCCACAAGGGCACGAAAACACAGCAGCTGCAGATCTGATCCATGATGGTGCTGTGGAGGGAAGAATCTGAACCATGGCAGGGGTGTTGAGAGGAACACCTGAACCGTGGCAGGGGTGTTGAGGGGAACACCTGGACCATGGCAGGGGTGTTGAGGGGAACACCTGGACCGTGGCAGGGGTGTTGAGGGGAACACCTGGACCGTGGCAGGGGTGTTGAGGGGAACACCTGGACCATGGCAAGGGTGTTGAGGGCAGCCATTGCTCCCTGCCCCAGCCAACATATGGCATCAGTGGAAACCTCTCAGCCCAGTTCTGCAGCTCCTCTGATCCAAGAGGGTGGTGGGCACCAGCCCCCAAAGCAAATCCTCTTTTCCTCCAGCTCTGGGCGTGGTTTTAGCTGCTTCCCCCAGCAGATGAGCAATGTGCAATGCCCTGTCCCAAACACCTGCACATGTGGGGCAGCTAAAGGGTGGCTGATGTTCTTCAGGGAATGAAGCACCTGGAAACCTCTGGGAAAGCCCACATGAGGCACCTGTCTGTGTTTCACAGCCCCTGAGCTCCAGCCATGCCAAAAGTCACTGGCAGCTGTGTGCTGTCCCTCACACCCCACACCAAACTCCCTGGCACAAGCAGTGGTTATTCCATTGTTTACTGACAGGGATGGGTTCCTGTTCCAGGAAAGCTGCAGGTTTACAGCCCTCCTGCCTGTTTGTCACAGGGAAAGACAGGTATTTCTCCAGGAGGTACACAAAAGCTTTCAAGGAGCGTGGACAAAGTTCATCATTCCAACCCATCCTTGCAAAGGTGCCCTTGGATTTTCACCCCCCAAGACCCCTCTGGAGCTGCTCAGGGAGACACAAGGGGTGTTGAGGACTTTTGGCACCTTCCCAGCCAGGAAAGGAAATCCCCAGCCAAGCCCAGAGTGATCTTTAGTCATCACAGGAAAAACAGGGAAGAGAGGTCACCTCACACACTCTCTGTGAGCACAGCACAAGAACCAGGGCCACCAGCTGTCACCTACTCCAACAAAACAAAAACCCAAGTGGAAGAAGCAGTGGGATCCTCAGGAGCCATCAGGGCTGGTTCTGTTGCAACAAAGTGGAGTGGAAAGAGGAGATCAAGAAAAATGCACCCATGGGTGCATATCCCAGGAGTGGCACAGGGCCTGGATGTTACAGTTCCCAAGGAGGGAGATCTGCTGTCCCACCAAAGCTGAAGGATTTCACCCTGAGAAAGATTTGGTTTGGCTCTTCCCTGGAACAAAAAGCATCCTTTGTGGAGGGAAGGATGAGGTTTGGGGGCTTCACTGCACCTTCCTGCTGTGGAGCATTCCCAGGCTGCAGCTTGCTGGGTGCTGGGTAAGCTTTAACCCCCTCCTCTCTTAGCAGGGATTGTGGCCTCCCTTCCTAGCCAGGGTCTCCCCCAGGCTGTGACCTCGCACTCCCTAGAGCTCCTCGTTTCCTTCTCCTCCACCACTCAAATTGTCAAGCACCTCTGTTCTGCCAATGAGCTGGTGATTTTTTTTGGAAGTGAATCTCTCAGCCAGTTTCCCAGAGATGTTGTACTACTGAAACTTTGCCATCCAGCCACCACCCATCCCACCACTGTCCCTTCCTGCCTACTGCCCACTACCATCTCCAGGCTGCAGCTGTTAGGTAGTTCTGCAGGACCAAGACCAGTTACAGCCAAAGGGACTGTAGTTTCAGGCTGCCAGGAGCCAGTTTTTGTGGAAACCTCATGGTGCAACCACGTGTTTGTGCTGTGCTCACCCATCAGCTGCTGAGCAGCTCCGACTGCTGACCTCTGGCTTAGGAGCCAAAAGATGTTGGGGATGAAATCTGGGTGCCCACAGGAGCTGGTTTTAAATGAGGAAAGTTTGGATTTCCCACATTCAGACCGTCAAACAGCACGAAGTGAGATTTTCAATCTTACAGTCAGCATTTTATTTCCTCTGCAGAAAGCAAAGTGAAAATAGCAGTGGGTATTTTCTGTTTTCATACACGCTCTGTTTCTGTTCACACAGACTCTGTTCACTTCAGGTATTCCTGCTTCAAACTCAAAGCAAATAATCACATATCTGACCATGAGTGGGGTCATATTTGTTACTTTTCACATTATTTAATCACAAAATTAATTACAAAAGTTGTTACCTGGAGGGAAGGGAATTAAAGTGAATACCAGCTACGGGCAACCTTGGAGCCTGGAGCTTCAGCCAGGCCTGATCCAGGCAGGTATTTCAGTACACTCCTAACCTTAATCCCAGGAGCAACCTCACAGGACACAGTGAGGTTCCAGCATGCACCATATTTGCAGTGCCAGTCCATGTTCAGGCTGGGGAAATGGCTCAGGTCCAGAGCAGGATGCTCACAGCTGGGGACAGCACTCACTGCCAAAGCAGAGCAGCAGATGCTCAGCCTGGAGCTTGTGCTCTGCTCAGCTCAGCACATCTCGCTGGAAGATCAGAGGGATCTTTTCCACAAGTTTAGACCTTAAAGACAAGGATTAAAATTTCAGAGCAAAAATATCACATTCCCTCCCGAAGGGCAGGAGAGGAACCAGCAGGAGAGCAGCCCACACATCCACCTGTGCTTTTGGGGCTGGGGGACAGCTTCCAGCTGTGTTTTGCTAATGAAGCCCCAGAGATCTCAGCTTTGATTCACAGCAGGGTTTGAAATCCAGGCCAGCTCTGTGGCCTTCTATCCAGTAGAGGCAAGAGACACCAGCACTGCCCAGCACAGCATGAGTCTCTCCGCGATGCACTGAAGTGAAGCCACCAAAGATTTACTATGGTGAAACCTCCAGGGGGTCTTCCTTCAAATCTTCATGGTCCTCGTTCTCTAGCTGCTCCAGTTTTCTGGATTTCTCATGGACAACCTCCCCAGGAGTCTTCAAAAACCTGAAATACGTTTTTGTGATGACTTTAAGGGCATGTCCAAACCCAGCCCCAAAGCAGGCTGTAAATGCCTCTTTGCTCTCAACAAGGCCAGGCTGGACGGGGCTTGGAGCAGCCTGGGAGAGTGGAAGGTGTCCCTGCCCATGGCAGGGGGTGGAATGAGATGAGCTTTAAGATCCCTTCCAACCCAAACCATTCCATGATTCTGCAATCAGCTGAGTTCTGGAGCTCAGCAGGGATTTGCCATCCTTGGGCTTTGCTGAGAATCCCAGGAAGCTCTGAGGTCCAGCTGGCACAGGACAGAGCCTGGACACAAATCCACTGGGGTATGTGCACAGGAGGATGTTGCTGGATGAAGCAGCTGCCAACATCTGGAGCTCATCACTTTTCCCTGCCCCATCCATGCTGTCCCAGGCAGCTCATTCCTCTGTTCTGATTCACCTCACCTGAACAACAGCTTCTGCCCTGGCTCCTTTTTGATGATGTTCAGTTTGTAGTAGTGTCTGAGTGCTCGTGACATCTTCTCATAGGTCATGTTCATCCGGTTCTGGAAGGAGAAAAGAATTGCTGGGTGTTGAGCAAAAGTGAGCAACAACACTTGGGTTGGGTCTGCATGCAGACATTTGAGGTGGTTTGGGGCATTTGGCACACTGTAGTGTGTGTCCCTAACCCAGACTGGCTTCATGCTTTGCCTCCCAAGGGATGAGAAAGTCCCTCTTTAACCACCAGGCTGGCAGCTCTCACTAAGCCTGCACCCGCTGTGTCCCCCTCCCCAGCCCCTGGGCCATCATCTCTAGGGAACAGGTCATGAAAGGCACATGCAGAAGCCCAGGGATGACAAATTCATTCTCAGGGATGACAAATTCGCTCTCAGTTGCATTTACCTTGTGGTTGCCCCAGAGCTGGGCAAGCCCGTTTGGGTTGACAATGCGGAACACCTTGGCTTCCCTGTCCTCCCACCTGATGTAGGGCTCGTAGCGGCGGTCGGACAGGAGCTGGTACACGTATTCCCACAGCAGCCTGCAGTCTGAGCACGGGGGAGTTGCTGGTCACAGAGCTCCCACCGTGCTCAGCAGCAGGATTGCACATTTAGCAGCGACAATAAACATGAGAAGAGCCCAGAGCTCACACAGGGCACTTTTACTGTGAAATCTCAGAGCAGTTACAATTTTTCAGGTGGGGAAACTGAGCTGGAAAAACATGGAATAAAGGGAAGGGAGACAGATGGGCAGACAGGACAAAGCACCATCTCATTTCCCCAAGGAGCAAGGCTATAAATTCATAATTACCTGCAATTTTCCCATCTACTGGGGCTGACAAGGTAGCAGGAAAAGAGCAGATGGCACCTGGCCTGCAGCTACTCTCTGAGCTGTAGTGGGAGAGGTTCAGTGGCTGCGTGTGGCTGTGGAACAGGGGCTGCTCTGCACAGCCCAGCCACGAGGAAACAACTGGAGCAGTCTCAGCACTGCAGTCTGCACCTGAAAAAAAAACCCCAATAAACACCCTGTGGCTCGTTTTGCAGGTCCCAGACCTTGCAAAGCCCTGAAACAGGAGGGGAGGGACAGCTCAGGGTGGTTATCAGCCTGGGACCAGCCCAGGCAGAGGAGGAGGGTGCTGAGGAAAGCCTGGGATTTTCCTAAGGCTGGAGCAGCAGAAAGTCCAGGAGGGTTAGAGGAGATGGCAGGTAGGGTAAGGGTCAGATGTAGAAGAAAAACTGGAATAAGAAAATGGCCCAGAGCAGAGGCACCCCTGGTAAATTGTTGTGGGGACTTAATGTGTTAATTACCTTGCACATGAAACAGCAGAAGAACCCAGGAAAGTGCTCCCAGATCCACCTCCACACACATCCAGCCTCTGACACCAATTCAACCCCACTCCTACCTGAGACCCCCAAGGGCACGAAGAAGCCTCACTGGCTCCCACCAACCTCACCTGGGCCCTGTCCCCACCCCACCCTCTGACCCAGAAGCTCTGTGTAAGCTCAGCCCCGGCACCTCAGCCCTATCCCAGTTATGTTGCAGGACTAGTCTCCAGCAGGGCTGTGCCTCAGCCTGGCTTTGACCCTCCCTGATCCAAATCTCAATCTGCAGGCAGGCTTTTTAGGGAAGTCACAGTCTTGCCAGTTTGCCACAGACCCCCTGGTGCTGCCTAGCACTGGTTCTGACCTGCTGCATCATGACAAACCTCCCAGATGACCTGGACTTTGCTGGGTCTGGTTGCCTTTCTCAGGTGGTGTGGGATGGTTTCAGCAGGCTGAGCTCCAAGCCCTAGGGCTGTGCAACCCACTGGGGCTGCAGGCAGGTTCTGCCTGCTGCACACTGCCATTCTCCCAGGATATTTTACTCCCATCATACCTTCCTCCGTGCTCCTGGCTGTCCTGAAGGGTGAGTTCAGCAAGGGGCTGCACACCAGAGCTCTTCTCTGAGTCTTAATGAACTGGAGTATTTCATAAAGCACATCCCCTGCAGGGAAGGAAACTCTGCTCAGATGACTTTGGATAATGGTTCCTCTCAGGTAAGGTTGCTGAGAGTCTGAACTACACTATGGGGTTATTCCCCATCCCAGAGTATTTAGATAGTTCAGATGCACCAGAGGAAGGACGAGTTGTCCTCATCTCCAGCACTAAACTTGGTCTGCTGGGACCCACCGAGCCCTCTCAGCAGAGCACACCTTGTGCTGGGATGATGCTCACAGACCCCTTGCCCTGGGTCTAACCTGAGTTTGGAGCTCGGTGTCTGAAGTCATCCTTGGTGAGGATGCACAAGGCTTTGCCATTCATTTCAAACTTGCTCTCGTCAGTGGGCCGCAGGGAATATTCCTTCTCAGCCCATCGTAGCCAGTGGATCACATCATCCTTGCTCCACAGGGAGGGCTGGATTCCTGAAATCAGGAGCAGCCTCTGAAACAACTCTGTCCTCAAAACTGCTGAGTGGCAGGTGGGGCTGCTTCTCCATCACATAACTTTCCCTCTATATTAAGCACTCACAGGTCAAAAACACCACAAAGAGAGAAAATGAACCCTGACAAAGCCTTGTCCCCCTTGCCAGCAGGGAATGGTCCCTGGGTTGGACACCATGGCTGTACCCACCCTGTCCCACCCCATGGGAACTCCTTTTTGAGCAGCATTGAATTGCTTAACCTCTACTCACTCAGCCTCCCAGGAAGCCTGAAGATCTCCCCAGTGCTGATGGGTGAGGGTCTGGCCTGGGATGGGGCTGGTAATGACACTGCCACCACAGGGCTGGAAGAGCTGATGGCCACTTTGCCCTGGGGAAGAGATCAGATACATCAGTGGGGAGAAATTCCCAGCTCTGGTCCTGACTTTGCTTTGGAGATGCCTCCACCTGCTCCAGTATTCCCTATCTGGTTTCTCATAGTTCCTCATGTGCTGTCTGCAGGGTTTTCCTCATGCTTTTCCTCATCCCAGCCCCAGGATGGGGTTGGGCTGCCCAAGTCAGCACTAGTAGCCAGAGATCCCTCTCTTTTTCCAGCTCTTTAGCAGAGGAACCTGCCCTCAGTCAGGCTCTGGAGGGGTTTATCCATCCCCACTCCCCATGGCTGCAGGGAAATGGGAGATGGAGTTAAGATTAGCAGAGCCTGCAGTGTCTGTGCTGACTCCCTGTTCCTGCAGGATCCTCTGATGCTCAATGGATGCTCAAGGTTTTAGGAGAGCACTTCAGTTCTTTAGAGCTGTGAAAATAAAGCTGGCAATAGGGCTTTGATTTTGTCTTGAAAACACCACAGAGAGAGAGATCTCTTACTCCATCCCCGGTGATCATTTGGGCATAAGTGGAAATGGCCACCCCATGGTTTAGGGGAGATGCAAGCTCCTCTTGCTCACTGTCCATGGAGTTCTGGCCCCTCAAGAATTACTTTTCCCCCTCAGCCAGGGCATGTGAGCCAGACAGGAGCTCAGATCCTGCTTCCAGCCACATCTAGATCTTGAAATATTACTGGCAGCCAAGCAGATAATGTTTCCCCTTAAAAACCTATTAATGTGAATCCCAGCAATTTCCCAGCTTCACTCACTGGAAAATAACAATTTTGCTGTCAAATGGTATTTTCTGAAGCAGTTACCAGCTCTGAGCACTTCAGGCTCAGGCAGGCTTTTGCAGGTGATTTAGAGCAGCCACCCCTCCACTGTGTGTGCAGGCAGAGGAGCTGAGCTCTCTGAAAATGAGGGGTGAGGAGATGGGACTTGGACACAAATGCAAAGCTGAAGCTCCCAAAATCAGGAGAACAGGAGACAGGAGCAATAGTGCACCACTTCAGGGAAAAATGCTTCCCTGGGAGTTACAGCAGGAGGAAGGTAGCAGGCTGGTGAGGGGCTTTCTTTGGCAGAAGGACCCAGTGGCCACTGGCTGTCACTGGGTTGGATTCAGCAAAGCAGGCAGCTGCATGACAGTGAATGAGAACAGTGAGACTCCAGAATAAACTCTGAGCAGGCTTGGCAGCAATACAAACCGTCTTTCAGATTCACTCTAAGCATTAAGCTATGGGGAAAATGAAAGTGAAAGAAATTAGCAGAGTATTTTGTCTAGAACTATCTAAAAGGTATTTTAATTTTCTCCCTACGGTGTGACTCTTTTACCAATGAGATTTATAGTAAAATCAGAACAAATTGGGTATTTTTTTTGCTCCTAAAGATTTCTAGGCTTTGAGATACATTCTTAATCTTTATTACACTAATTTTATGTTCTTGCTTTTACCTCTGCTTAGCTGCTTTCAGACTTTTCTGAAAATCTGAGATGGCTTTTCTTTGCTTCAAGAGGAAATACTGTCCTTGGGGGTGTTCGAGTGGGAAAGTGAGAAAAAGGGGGGTGAAAAGGAAAAGGAACCCGCAAATGTGTGACAGCAGCTTTTTGCCCAGAACCCAACGAGGGGAACAGAGGCTCCCGGCTGCTTTGGGAGGCCGTTTGGAGGTGGGGAATGGGGTCACCCCCCCAGGGCATGAACTTCCAGCCCTAACTGAGGAGGGCAAATCCCGAGGGGACGCGGAGGAGGGAGGGCGAGCCCGGCCGGCTCCTACCTGCATGGCCGCTGGCCGTGGGCGGCCGAGCCCCGGAGCGCTCAGGTCCCGTCCTCGCGGCCGCTGCGGCGCGATCCTCGCCAAAAACGAAATCGAAACGAGCCGGAGCTCCGGGAGGCCGGAGAGAGCCGGGGCAGCGCCGGGGCCGGCTCGCGCAGGGAACCGTGACCCGCGGCTCGCCTCGCTCCGGGACAGCACCGGTACAGCACCGGGACAGCACCGGTACAGCACCGGTACAGCGCCGGGACAGCGCCGGGACAGCACCGGTACAGCACCGGGACAGCACCGGGACAGCGCCGGGACAGCGCCGGGACAGCACCGGTACAGCACCGGTACAGCACCGGTACAGCGCCGGGACAGCGCCGGGACAGCACCGGTACAGCACCGGGACAGCGCCGGGACAGCACCGGTACAGCACCGGGACAGCACCGGTACAGCACCAGGACAGCACCGGGACAGCGCCCGGAAACCTCCTCCTGCCCGGGTCCCGGGGTCTGACACGCCGCAGGAGGACGGAGGGAGCCCGGGACGCCCGGGAGCAGCTCCAGTTCCGGGCTCCATCCTTTTTCTCCACTGGGAGCGGCCGGGGGAAAGGGGGAAAGGGGGAAAGGGTGAAGCTGCGCAGCGGTCCCGGAGCAACGGGAGGTGGGAGCACACCTGGAGGGTGCCCGCCTGCCCCGCGCACACCCCGTGAGGTGTAGCACCACACGGTGTGGGTGACTGGGAGGGGATTGAATGGACTTTGAAGGGACTGGGAAGGACAAAAGTTATACTTGTAGAAACAAAAGAGGCGCTGGGAGGGACAAAAAGAACACTTTTACGAACAAAAGGGGCACTGGGAGGGGACTGGGATAGACTGGGGAGGTAATGGGATGGACTGGGATGGACTGAGAGCGACTGGAATAGGCTTGGAGGGCACTGGGATAGACTGGGATGAGCTGGAAGTGACTGAGAGACTTGGAGGGGATTGAACGGGATTTGGGAGGGATTGGACAGGACTGGGAAGGACTGGGAGGCACTTTTCCGGACAAAAAGGGCACTGGGAGTGGACTGTTAAGGCACTAGAATTCACTGGGAAGCGCTAGGACAGGATCGGATGGGACTGGGAGGACAAGAAGCGTGTTTTTACGAACAGACGGGGCAGTAGAAGGGCTGAGGGAGCCACTGGGGGGCACTGGCACAGACTGGAATGGACTGGGAGGGGACTGGGCTGGACTGGGCGGGCTCCGCTCCCCGCGATGCCGACCCCTCTCGCCCCGCCCCCCATGCTTTCTCGTCTCCAATTGGCCAATTCCAGAAGCCAATCACAGAGTTGGTCCAATCACATGGCTGCGTAGGCGGTGGGTGGGGTTCAGTGGCGGGGCCCCGCCCACTGCTCGCCTGAGGGAGCGGCCGCGGCGGGGACGCGGTGAGTGAGGCCTCGAAGGGCGGGGGGCGGCCCGGGACTTTGTGGGGCTTATGGGGGCCCCTTCCCGCTCTGCTCTGAGCTTCTGGCGTTCTTCTACATCTTCTCTGTGTTTTGAGGGTGGTTACGGGCCTGGGGGCGCCCGCAGTGCGCTATGTGTCCGGAAAAAGGGGTTGGGGGGGGGGGGGGTTTCCCGGCC